CTCGGCTGGGTTGTGCGTGCGCCGCGGCCGGTGCGTGGATTCTGGACTCCGCGCGGCGCGTCTGGCTCTGGAACCAGCCCCGGGCGGCGGCTCGCGTCCCGCTCGCGCTCCGCGCCCTCGCTGCTGGCTGAAGACGTCCGTTGCTCTTTTACATTTTTAAAACCTGACAGTTTGTAATAAATTCTTAGACTGGAAATAAAACGTACTTTTCTTACCGTCTTGTCCTTTCCGTTTGGCCGGCACCCGCCGCCCCCGTCCCAGCCCCCCGCAGGGGTCGGACTCAAATCCCGCCAAGGTCTCGAGGCCGCGCCTGTCTAGCAGCCTTAAGCCCACGGGGCTCCGGTGTGTGCGCACGTGCATTGCTGTGTGTTATGTGTGCATTCATTTGCATGTATGTGTACTGTGTACGTGATATGTGCGATGCACATCTATATGCATGTATTGCTGTGTGCATGGTGTGTGCAACGTGTCCATGTGCATGCAGCATGCACGTTGTATGTGTGCATGTGTGTGGCCTGTATGATGTGTGTGCACACGTGTGTTCTCTGCGTGTTCACTGGAGACCGCAGTGAGGTCCTCAGTGGCCCCTGGGGCTCAGGCAGGTGGCTGCCTGTGTCCAGGTGAAGTGGGCACTCGCTTTCTGGGCCAGTGAGGGTGCTGGCTTGGAGCCTGGCCGCCCCCTCATTCCGTCTCCCACACATGGGTGGTGGAGCTCCAGGGACACCATCACCGTCTCCCCTGCATGTCCTGGGGGCATGCCCTGTCCTGTGGAGAGGGGAGTTGGGGGGCCCTGCAGCCCTGCAGGTGGGAAAGGCAGGCTTCGGCAGCTGAGCTGGGCCCACCTGCTGGCGGGGTGGCCCCAGCAAGTCACTCCACCTGCCTGAGCCTCAGTTTCCTCCTCCATAGACGGGACCACGGTCCCAGCCTCCCCGGGCATGGGGGTGCAGGGTGTGGGGCGTAATGAGATAACATGAGTACTGCTCACAGAGGGCTGTTAGCGGAGTTGTCATTATATACGTGGCATTATCATCTCCACCCCCGAGGGACCCCCACCAGCCTTGGTGCAAAAAGACAGGGCTGTGAGTGCTGCTGCCCGCTAGCGGGGTGGCCTTGGAGGGCTGGGCTCAGTCCCACCAGCTCTCACGAGTCCTCTGCCCGTGGGTTCCTTGCCCACAGATGGCAGGGGTGGGGCAGGCTTCCCTCTAACCAGAGTAGACTGAGGCCCCAGCGGTTGAGCAACTTCCCCCCCCATCCCCAGGAAGCCAGGGAGGGTGGTGCTGTGCCCTGCCATGCGTGGGCGTCCTGGCTGTGGCCTCTCCTCTCTCTGACCGAGGCAGATGGCTGGGACCTGAGGGAAGGGCCATCTGGGGGGTGAGGTGGGAGAGGCGGGCCTTGGGCTGCCCGGGTAGGGACTGGGCAGGGTTGGGGCCAGGTGGCCAGGCCTTCCAGCATCAGTTCTTGGCTGGAGGAGGCACCCAAGGACCTGGTGGGTGGGGACTGGGCTGCTGGCCTCAAGTCCTCACCCAGAGGGAGGGACCCTTCATGGGAGTGGACACTGACCGCCGTGGCCCTTTGGGGGCTCCTGGGGGACATGCGTCTCCCGACTTAGGAGGAGGAGGGCCGGGTCCCTACAGTGAGTGTGCCTCAGGCTTCTGATCCCAGCATGGCCTGGAGTGGGGTGGGGTGGAGGCATGGGGGCTGCCAGGACAGCCTTTTACCCCGAGGATGTCACACGAGGCACCTTCCTTCCTCCGTCCCATTCTTAGTGTGAGCTCAGGGCCCCTTGCTCCTGCCTCCTCCCCAGGGCAGGTGGGTGGGTGGAGTGATGGCTTCTCAGGTGTCCCAGAGCTTCCTGGGAGCGTCTGGGCAGCCAGAGGGGGCCGACGCTCCTCAGAGNGCACACGTGTGTTCTCTGCGTGTTCACTGGAGACCGCAGTGAGGTCCTCAGTGGCCCCTGGGGCTCAGGCAGGTGGCTGCCTGTGTCCAGGTGAAGTGGGCACTCGCTTTCTGGGCCAGTGAGGGTGCTGGCTTGGAGCCTGGCCGCCCCCTCATTCCGTCTCCCACACATGGGTGGTGGAGCTCCAGGGACACCATCACCGTCTCCCCTGCATGTCCTGGGGGCATGCCCTGTCCTGTGGAGAGGGGAGTTGGGGGGCCCTGCAGCCCTGCAGGTGGGAAAGGCAGGCTTCGGCAGCTGAGCTGGGCCCACCTGCTGGCGGGGTGGCCCCAGCAAGTCACTCCACCTGCCTGAGCCTCAGTTTCCTCCTCCATAGACGGGACCACGGTCCCAGCCTCCCCGGGCATGGGGGTGCAGGGTGTGGGGCGTAATGAGATAACATGAGTACTGCTCACAGAGGGCTGTTAGCGGAGTTGTCATTATATACGTGGCATTATCATCTCCACCCCCGAGGGACCCCCACCAGCCTTGGTGCAAAAAGACAGGGCTGTGAGTGCTGCTGCCCGCTAGCGGGGTGGCCTTGGAGGGCTGGGCTCAGTCCCACCAGCTCTCACGAGTCCTCTGCCCGTGGGTTCCTTGCCCACAGATGGCAGGGGTGGGGCAGGCTTCCCTCTAACCAGAGTAGACTGAGGCCCCAGCGGTTGAGCAACTTCCCCCCCCATCCCCAGGAAGCCAGGGAGGGTGGTGCTGTGCCCTGCCATGCGTGGGCGTCCTGGCTGTGGCCTCTCCTCTCTCTGACCGAGGCAGATGGCTGGGACCTGAGGGAAGGGCCATCTGGGGGGTGAGGTGGGAGAGGCGGGCCTTGGGCTGCCCGGGTAGGGACTGGGCAGGGTTGGGGCCAGGTGGCCAGGCCTTCCAGCATCAGTTCTTGGCTGGAGGAGGCACCCAAGGACCTGGTGGGTGGGGACTGGGCTGCTGGCCTCAAGTCCTCACCCAGAGGGAGGGACCCTTCATGGGAGTGGACACTGACCGCCGTGGCCCTTTGGGGGCTCCTGGGGGACATGCGTCTCCCGACTTAGGAGGAGGAGGGCCGGGTCCCTACAGTGAGTGTGCCTCAGGCTTCTGATCCCAGCATGGCCTGGAGTGGGGTGGGGTGGAGGCATGGGGGCTGCCAGGACAGCCTTTCACCCCGAGGATGTCACACGAGGCACCTTCCTTCCTCCGTCCCATTCTTAGTGTGAGCTCAGGGCCCCTTGCTCCTGCCTCCTCCCCAGGGCAGGTGGGTGGGTGGAGTGATGGCTTCTCAGGTGTCCCAGAGCTTCCTCCAGTCCTCATCTCTCAGGCCCCGCCTGTCCCTCACCTGGTCCTTCCCCCAGAGAGGGACACATTGCGGCTCATTTTCAGGGCACCTGTTGTGTCCCGCCCACACCCAGTGCTGGGTGTGATGCTGCACCTGCAGGACTGGCCCCTGAAGCAGGTGCCATCTGTGGGGGGCTCCAAGGGCAGGTGGGGCCGAGAATTGGGGTCGGGAGGCCCCTGTGTGAGTTACGGGGGGCAGTGACCTGTAACCCTGGGTGTTGGAGGTGAGGTGCACCCTGGCCAAGGTCCCAGCATGCATGGGGCTCCTTTACACCGGTGACAGGTGAGAGTGGCCGGTGCTCAGGAGCCTGGCCCAGGACCAGGGTGGGTGCTGTGCCCTGAGATGGCAGCACCTTCACCCTCCTGGAAAGCAAGTCTGTCTTCCGCACCCCCGTCAGCCCCCAGCTCCCGCCACAAGACCCCACTGCCCAGCTGCCCTCCCCAGAACCCTGTCGGTCACCTGCCCTCCCCTGTGGGGGGCCGGTTCCTACAGGGTTTGGGATACAGAGGCCCTGCAGGCAGTGAATGTGCCAGCCACGGGCCACTGTCCCTCCCTCCTTCCTGGTCAGAGTCCTCAGCTCTGAGGCCATCAGAGGCCCTTTCTCCTCTGGCTCTGAGCCTGGAAGAGGCACCTGGACCAGGCCCCTCTGCAGCCTACGGCCGGGGGTGCAGGCCACAGCCTCGCATCTCCCGGCGGCAGCCGGTGACAAGGCTGCGAGCCAGGAAAACCGCTCAGAGCACAGGCCCGGCCAGAGTTGGCCTCGCCCCAGACCAGGTCCTGTGGGCGGCAGGGTTCAGGGACAGGCGGGAGTCCTGTGGCACACGGTGAGGGGCCCAGGCTAGTCTCCGCTGTGGGTGGCCTGGTCCCTGTCCTGTGTCACTCCTGGGGTCGGCGTCTCGGCTCAGCCCGGCGCAGGGTGTGGGAGCCGGGTGGACGGCTGACCGAGCTCTCTCTGGTCTAGGGAGCAGCTGCCTCAGCCCCTGGGCTCCCGACGCATCCAGGTAGGCTCGGCTTTGGAACCAGCTCCTGCACAGCCTCGGGACAAGGGGGGGGTGTCACCGTGGCCACAGCGATGGCCCAGCCGGGAAACCTGACCCATGGAGGGCGGCAGGCAGTGGGCGGTGCTGCTGTGGGACCTGAGGCAGGAGTGGAGGGGCTGCTGGGGAGTGGCAGGGTGGGACCTGTACCTGGTCCCCCGTGGTCGGGCCCTGCCCCAGCCTGGGGAGAAAAGGGGGTCAGTGTGCACTGGCAGCCTGCTACGTGGGGGCCTGCCCTGAACCCCACCGGGGCAGTTTCTAGGATGGAGGAGGGGACTTGAAGTGCCCAGGGCCATCCTGAAGGAGGTGTCACTGTGGACGGAAGTGTGGGCCTGTGCTTGGGGCGGGGTCCCTGGAACCTGGTGCAGGCAGGATCACCCAGGACAGCCGAGGGGAAGGACTGGGGCGTGGACAGGGTGGGGTGTCCTGCCTGCCAGGAGCAGGGCGCTGGGGACCTGAGGAGGAAGTGGCCAGGAGGGGTGGTTGGGGGTGGGGGGACAAGGGTGGAGAGTGGGTCACATAATGGGGGGCCAAAGACAGAAAGGTGTGGTCACTGGATTTCGGTGGGCCCAGGGGCCCGCGCCCTGCAGCAGGCAGGGGTGTGCACTGGGTGGGGGTGGGGACACCCTTTCCAGAAGCTCAGTGGTGAAGGGTCAGGGAGAGACATGGGTGGGGTCTCAGGATGGACAAATCGAGGAGGCCCTCCCAGGCCCTGCAGAAGTGGAAGGTGGGGGATTTGAGGGCGCTGGGGGGAAGCTCTTTGCTGTAAACTCTTGGGGGTCCATTCAGCTCTCAGCCACCCCCTGGGGACACTCAGCCCCTCTCCTTGCAGGAGCCCCGGGGCCTGAGGGGCCCTGCATTGAGGTGACCACCTACATGAACGTCCCTGCCAGCCCCTCCTCCAAGAAGCAGCTGTACTACCTGGGCCTGGAGCTCCCAGAGGCCCGTGCAGGAGTCCAAGGTGGGTCCCCACACAGCTGATGGGAGTGGGGGCCGCCAGCCCAGGGGCCCTTGGGTGGCCTTAGCCCCCCGGCACCTCAGCCCTCAGGCGGGGCTCTTCCAGCCACCCTGTCCTTCCTCCTGCTGAGCTGTGTCCCCACTCAGGCCCCACCTCAGGTCCTGCTGGGTGGATGGGGTGGGTAGAACCTCCAGCCCCAGCACCCTGTCCCGAAGGAGTGGGCGTCCTGGGGCATCTGGGCCAGCTCACCTGGGCTGCTTACAGGGGCCAGCGCCTCGCACTACGCACAGATCGACCTCGAGGCCACGGCGGCGGCCCACAGGGTGGGGGCCCAGCACGCACAGGCCCGGGAGGAGCGGCTGGCGGAGCTGGAGCCCAGGAGGAAGGGGGCCCCTCGCTGAGCGGCCCGCAGCACCCACGCTGGACAGCACCGTGGCTGAGCGGTGGGGACAGTGAGCCCAGAAGTCAGCCTCCCGCTGATCACCTGTGCTGTGTCCCTGGAGGTCTGGGTTCTGTTGTGGCCTGCTGTCCGCAGGGTGGGCCTGGCTGGTCCCCGGTGCCCAGAGCTGCCCCTGCCTTTGGTCTTAACAAGACCCTCTGGACCTCAAGCAGGGAGGCTGCTTCCAATGGTCACCTGAGGCAGCCCGTGGCCCTGGGATGCAAACTGCACTTCCTTCCCTGAGATGGCGGCCTCCCAACTGACAGCAAAACTCATGTCCCCAAACCTCACCTGCCAGCCTGGCGGGGCCAGGCCCCTCCCGCCGAGCATCCTGCAGCCATGGGCTCCAGGACATCCCGCTGTCCTCCCTACTGGGCACTGCTGCCCTGCGCTCCGGATGGTGCCACCGGCTGACCCCTGGATTCGGGAGGATTGGTCCACATTCTGACTGGACACATGCGTTTACTGACTGTATTGCTTATTGGGACCCATTGCCGTTAGTCATGTAAATAAAGTTGTCAGTGTTCTATTTTTAATAACACATCTTCCTGAAGGACCAGTGGCTCTCTTCCCTGTGCTGTGTCTGTGCTGGGCGGAGGCCTTGCCTAGCGGCCCTGGGGCAGTCTGGTCACCCTGACCCGGCCAAGGGCTCAGGGCGGGCTTAGCCCCACGTCAGTGGGTCTGGGTGGGGGTTCCCACGTGTTTCCTCCCAGCAGTGCCCGTGGCTTTGGGGGTCGAGCAGCGCTCATGACTGTGTGCCGGGGGGGGGTGGCTCCGTGGACCATGGGCCTGGATGATGGGGGGCTTGCCAAGGTGGTGGTGGGCTTCTTGCCATCCCTCAGAGCCGAGGCACAAGAGGAGTCGGGGCTGGGTCCTCCCCCCTGGTCTCGGAGAGGAGATGGGGCTCTGCTCTGTCCGCGGGGGGCTCCCGCCACAGCCCACACAGACCCAGCCCTTCCTTCTTCCCATCGTCCACCCGTCCATCTCCCTCCCTCCCTGACTCCCAAGCCCACTAGACACAGTGCGTCCGTGGGAGCCGCCACGGGGAGTGCAGAGGCTGACACTCCATGTTCTCCCCTCAGCTGGGGTCTCGGGTGGGTGGTCTCCAGGACACCAGCCCCCCTTGCCCTGCTCCGCCTTCTGAGTGGACATCCAAGCTGGGGAGTCAAGGCAGCGGAAGCAGGCTCCACCCTGAGCCCTGGGGTGGGACAGAAGGGTGCTGGGGCTGTGCCAGCAAACAAGCTGGGCTCCCTGGAGGAGGCGTTGCCCCACACTCTACACAGGATCTAAGGCAGTGGGACTCGCCTTTGAAGCTGCAAGTGGAGGGCAAGGCATGGCCAGCGCACCCCGGTCCAGGGCCCCAGTGGTGTTGGGGTCCCCTCTGGGTGGGAGGGCTCAGACATCCATGACACAGCAAACCTACAACTTCAGGAAAGAAAAACACCTCACTAGAGTTGACAGACATCAGGGACATCAGGAAGGGGACAGGATCAGCGTTGTGCCTGTTGTGACAACTGGAGGAAATTCCCACACACACACACACACACACACACACACTGGAGGAAATTCCTTCACACACACACACACACACACACACACACACACACACTTAATCCCCACTCGAGATTTATTCCTTCACACACACACACACACACACACACTTAATCCCCACTCGAGGAGATTTATTCCATTGCTCTTCAGAGAGTGGGAGAAACATCGATGTGAGACATTGATTGGTTGCCTCCCGCACGAGCCCTGGTGCCTGGACTAGGGCTGGGGATCAAGCCTGCAACCGAGGTAGGTGCCTTGGCCGGAATCGAACCTGAGACCCTTTAGTCTGCAGGCTGATGCTCTAACTGCCGAGTCAAACTGGCCAGGGCCACAAACATGAATTTTTTTTTTAATATATCTTTATTGATTTCAGAGAGGAAAGGAGAGGGAGAGAAACATCAATGATGAGAGTCATTGATCGAACCTGCAACCCGGGCATGTGCCCTGACCGGGAATCGAACCCTGATCGCCTGGATCCCAGGTCGATGCTCAACTGCTGAGCCACACCCGGCCGGGCCACAAACATAAATTTTTTAAAAACACAAAAATTAGAAAATCTAAACAGCCCCTTATTTTTAAAAGTTGTTTTTTTAATTATATTTTGATTTCAGGGAGTAAGCAAGNCCGGGCATGTGCCCTGACCGGGAATCGAACCCTGATCGCCTGGATCCCAGGTCGATGCTCAACTGCTGAGCCACACCCGGCCGGGCCACAAACATAAATTTTTTAAAAACACAAAAATTAGAAAATCTAAACAGCCCCTTATTTTTAAAAGTTGTTTTTTTAATTATATTTTATTGATTTCAGGGAGTAAGCAAGGGAGAAACATCAATGATGACAGTCACTGATCAGCTGCCTCCTGCACGCCCCCTACCAGGGATCAAGCCTGCAACCTGGGCACATGCCCTGACCCAGAACCAAACCATGAGCTCCTGGTTCCTGGGTCAACACTCAACCACTGAAATTCGTACTCCGTGCGTCCGGGACTTATTACAAAGCTGCCATGATCAACGGGACAGGGCAGGCTGGAAACAGATCCGCACCTGTGCGCTCAGGTTCCTGACCAAGGCACCAAACCAATCAGCGGGCAGAGGGCAGAGTCTACACAGCAAATGGGGCTGGAACACAAGGGGAACGTGAACCTTGACTCCAATCAGGCCTGGAAATCGAGTCTCCAGGAGCAGGGGACCCTGCATACCAGGATGGAGCCCAGCAGCCAGGTGACATCAGATGCTGGTGAGAGAAACCAGACACAAACACACTGACGGTCCACTTAACAAGAAATGCAGGAACAGGCAACAGACGCTACAGTGACAAGCTGGTGTGGCCTCTGGTGAGGACACTGCTAGTGGCCACGTGGGTAATTACAGCCGTCAGACTCATCACCTGAAGCTCGGGGTCTGTTTTTGCACGGACTCCCTCCCCTCCGTGTTCTCTCACAGAGCTGCCTAAAGTACAAAAGGATGACCCCGCAATTAGATGCACGGACACCCAGGCTTGGCAGGCAGCTGGCACCTCATGCCACCTGCCGGCAGGAGTGTGGGCCGAATGCACACAGGAGGACCTGTCCATACTGCTCCTGGAGCCAGAAAACAGGCACGCACGCCCGCACACAGCCACGCCCACCCCGTTACTCTCCAGAACTCAGTCTCATCCACGGCAGAAAGGGTAAGCGTGGCAGCCACGGCAGAATACTAGACAGCACTGAAAAGGAGCATTTCCACTAGACATGGCTGAACCTCACCAATGTACTGAGGCCTGAACACACAAACTTTCATGTCTGTGAAGTTCCAAGAGGGAAACCCAACCATACGGAAGCCAGGAGTGGTTTCTTTGTCCATCAGGGCTGCCTGAACAGAATTCCACGTTAGTGGCTTAAACATCTGTCCTGGAGGCAGGAAGCCCAAGATCAAGGAGCAGGCAGACTGGTGTCTGGGGAGAGCCCTTTTCCCAGTTCAGACTGTTCTGTCACCTCATTTTGCAGGATGAGGGAACGCCCTGGGACCTTGTAAGGGAACTCATCCCATTCCTGGGGCTCCACCCTCATGACCCAATCACCTCCCACAGGTCCCATCTACAAATATTATCACCCTGGGGGGTTAGGGTTCAATACATGAACTTGGTCGGGGGGGGGATGGACACAAGCCAAGCGGTTATAGGTGTATGGGGGCCGGGGTCCTTGGATCCTGGTGATCTTCCCTGCAGGGTGGCAGAAAAGTGCCCGAGCCCAGCCCTGTCTTCCTCTCACACAACAGGGAAGAAAGGGGCATGGGGTGTGGGGTGGAGGAGGGGACCTTCCAGCTGACAGCGAGGACACAGTGAGACAGAGATAGCGAGAGTGCGTCAGATCACTGATGAATTAAATGTCACAATCATTGTACAGGACTCCAATTCGGGATTCCCAGCGGCAGGTCCACAAGTCTCGCGGGAACGGTGATGCTGCAGCAGAGGATGCCTGTCGGCAGCCGGAACCAGCACTCCGGCCACGGGCAGCAGCTCTGCTGGGGCGGCTGGGGGCTGGGGGCAGCGTGGAGGTCCCCCGCCAGGCACACGCGCAGTCTGAGGCTGGCCCACCCTGCTGAGCACTGTCACACTTCCCCGAGGTTCTGTTCATGCAGAAGCCACCCAGTCCGGGCATCAGAGCTCGTTGTGGCGTGCCCTGGAGATCCGGCCGGACAGGTCCTGTAGGTGCTTTTTCACCTGTGGACAGCAGCCACTGAGACGGGCCCTGGGGAGACCGTCTAAAAGGGCCCCTCCTCAACTGTCACCTTACAATCCCCCCACCAGGAAAGTGCCAGAAACAAATCCTCACAGCAGCTTAACATGAACTACAAAACCACCACAGAACACGAGACACCAGGGGCCAGAAGCAGACCGTGCCTCCTCCGTCACTGGCCCAGGTCATGTACGGAGGCTTTCTTCGCCCTTGTCCCACACACCAGGGCCTGTTGGTGGTCCCAAAGCTGGCCTGGTGCTTTTGCCTAATTCTCACAGAACCCTGCCAGCTCAGAGCACCTACTTTCGGGGCTCCCTTGGCCCCAGTCTTCTCGAGTGTCTGTCCTGCATACGCACACACATCCTTTCCCATCTGGTGACGCTTCCTTCCCGCACACTTTCACCCCAGCCGCCTGTCACAGGTGAAGCTCCCAGCAAATCCCCCCGCAAGGCTGCATGCCTGAGGACCCTACAAAGCTCTGTGAGGTGGGGTGACCACCTCCCCTTTGCAGAGGAGGAAACCAAGGCTCAGAGAGGGGAAGCCAGGCACACACAGGGCAGGGGAGGGTCGCCCCTTCCTGGAGGCTGGAGCCTGGTACTAAACTTCTACCCGCCTGTCCCTGGCCGAGGGGACCCACCTTGTAGCCCAGCTCCTTGGTCTTCTCCTCCAGCAGGGCGTAGCGCTCTTTGTTCCGGCTGACGTGCTCGTGGTCTCCGAACCGCTCCACATGCTTCAGTTTCTGATGTGAAATTTCTAGCTGCTTCTGGTAGTGGTTGTGCTTTTCAATTTTCACCTCAAAGTGCTTCAGCTCCTCCTAGAACGAAGTTTCAGGCACCAGACTCCCCCAACACGCTCTTAATGTCCAAAGCCCCTTCCCAGCAGGCTCAGGGCCAGTGCCCCCCCAGCCAGGAGGCAGCACACAGCAGTTCACATAGGCAACGGAGGGAGGGAGCAGAGCAGGAAGGACAGGTCCCAGTGAAAGACTAACCTGCTCTGACTAACGAAAAGGAAGCGACAGCACCTTCCCCACATCACCAGGACGTTCAGCAGGACAGACCTGGGAGCTACGCTGAGACGCACCGCCCTGCGCCCTGCTTACCCGGAAGGACTCCAGCTCCTTCTCAGTGAAATTGGCTGACTGGGCCAGGTCCCACAGATCAATCACCCGCGGCTCCTCGAACTCTAGTAGAGAGCAAGGCCATCTCAGAGACACGCAGTGACACCCGGGCTGCGTGTCCCACCTGGCCACCAGCACACTGTGTGTGCAGGTGAGCATGTGCATGATACGTGGGTGCATGTGGACACGTGTCAGTGTGCGTGCATGTGTGTGTGCAGCATCCTTGGGAAGCAGGCCGGGCATCCTTCCCACGCACTCTGCCCATAGCTCACAGGACCCACTGCATGTGGCTGGCTTCCCGAACACCTGCCCCTGCCAGGTCTCCTACAGCAAGTCCTGGAGTGAGCAGTGGACGTGGGACGCGGAGCTCAGGAAGGAAGCGCTGGTATCAACGACAGTATGTGTGGAGCTGTTTGTTACGGCGGCACAACCACCTATCCCGACTGATCCAAGGGCCAAGGGAACGTGACGAACGTGAAGGCACGGCGTGTAACTTTCAGAGAAAAGGCACAGAGAAAGGCCCAGGTGTGCTCGCTGGAAGTGGGGAGCCCCCGCCCGCGCTCACCGGCCTCAGCACCATAGCCCTGGTGGCTGACTTTGCGCAGGCGGTCGTAGCCTTGGCTGATACCCCGCAGCCGGTCCTTCAGCTCTGCGTGTCTGCTGTGCAGCACAGCTTCCTCCTGCGCGCGGCTCATGTCAGAGGGGCTGATGACATTCTCCTGAATCTCTGTGGGAAACAAGAGGGGGTGCTCGGGGACTGGGACACCAGCCCCCGAGCCGGCCCTGCATCACCAGGAGCACACAAGCTCTGTCGTTTCTGGCTGGAGTGTCTCTCCTCCCACAAGCTCCGTGGTTCCTCAACAGTCCATCCCTTCCTTCAAAACGTGCAGACGTGAGAACCCACTTTCCTAGACGGCCCTTTGCAGAAGGACTGTTGGCTCCCTAGGAGCCTGAGGCCACCCTGCTGACCCCACCCGGTCCTCCAGTATGCTGGCTTCCTGAGGGTGGGAGCCACGGATCTGGGTGGGTTCCCAGACCCCACAATGCATGGTACTGTCACAGATGTCACAGCAGGCAAAACTACAGTTCATGGGAGAGGTGGCCAGCAGTGACCTGAGTGACTACCTAAGTTCCATCTGACCACAAGTCCCTGCAGCTGTCAGAGGCGCCCTGATGGGTCCCCAAAGGCAAGATTCCCACTCAGGAAACTAGGTGGACCTGTGAGAAACCAGCATGGATGTCCCCCGCACAGCTCCACTTGGGAGCCAGGGCTGCTAACAGGGAGGGCGGGGCTGGAGTCACCTTCTGTTCTGCTCAGGGTCTCCAGCAGGACATTATACTCTCGAACTTTTTCTCTGTGGTGCTGGAACTCCCGCCACAGCTTGTCCAGCTCATCCCTGGAGAACTTCCCGGAGGTCTTCGCCTGGGAGGAGAGCGGCTGCATGAACACCAGCCAGGGGTCTGCTCACCTGCCCACATCTCAGGTGCCCTCCTCCCAGGGACTGTGGGATGACACGTGGATAATGCAGGTCCCGGCTCAGCCTCAAGGCTACAGAGAACTCCCTCCACCCTGGGCCTTCCGTCCTTCCTGCTCTAGCTTCATTCTTGTGACCAAGGGTGATGGGCTGGTGTGAGAATTGCAACTCCTAACCCCACTCAACATGGCCCAGACAGTGTCCTGAAGGAGCTGGTGGACAAAGGGGGGTGAAGAGAGCACCCCACCCACCCCCTGGCCGCCCAGCCCAGCCGTCTGGCAACCTCTTGAGGTTTGCATCCCCAGGTGAGGGCACCTCTCAGAACCAGACACCGTCTGCAGGATCCACTCCACTCAACACGGATGCCAAGTGAAGATGTGGCACCCACACCGCCCAGCAGCCTGTGTGCATGATAGGTCGCCAAGCGAGTTCTCGTCTGAAGCTCGACTCTGCGCCAGACAGTGCTCCTGTGCCAGTCGCCAGCACCAGGGGGACAGAGGCCCAGGAAGGAGGGCCACAGAGAAACAGCACAGCGGCTGCATGGACAGACCTCCACGCAGGGCAGAGAAGCCCCCATTCCCAATGCAAGGGCACACACGCAGGGTACCTTGTGCCACAGTTTCTCCAGCCTGGGGTCCTCCAGGCTGTCCTGCTCGGTGCCGTCGTTGAGGGAGTTGCTGCTGAGCGCCCGGGAGTCCTTCCTCCCGTCCAGGTGGTACTTGGCCAGGATGACTAGGAGAGAGGTGAGTGTCAGTCAGGCCAGGCCTGGGTCAGAGGAGCAGGTCAGAGAGGCTGGGTCCACACGCTGGTCCCGCCCACAGACCAGTCAGAATAAGCAGCCCAGGTGCCTGTCCCCTGGGACTGAAACGGGAAGGAAGGTACCGCTGAGGCTGCGGATGAGCTTTGCTTCCATCTCCCCGTCGTCGTCTAGACCTTCCGCCTTTAGCTTCTTCCAGCTGAATTCATCCCTTTCCTGCATCTTCAGATCAGCATGGAGCTCGGACAGCTCCACAGGAGAAAGCTGCAGCTGCGGGACGGGACAGAGGACACCTGACAACCGGCCGCACACGAACCAACCACACAGCCTGGGAAACTGACCCCAGAGAAAGGGTGACCAGGAGTCGAGGAGACGGAGTCCAGGTCCCAGCCCTTCAAAATCCCCCACCCTTCCCTCAGGAGAACTTCAAAGGGACCTTGGCCCTGCCAAGCAAAGACCCCCAGCCTCGCCTGAAACATCTACAGCTCATCATGGTCCCCAGGGAGCCACCTGCTATCAGCGGCCTGAGCCTGAGGGCACAGGAGGGAGCTGGCTGCACAGGGCGGCTCCTGGAACAAGATGCCCACCCTAGCACCCTGGACCCTGGGCACAGTCACGGGTACCTGGGTAAATGGGGTGTGTGTGTGCAAGGGCTCAAATGAGGGGCTTGGTGAAGAAACCAGTCCTCAGATCATGAAACTGCAGCCATTAGGGAGAATAGAAGGTTGCATTTATGAAAAAACTTAAAAAAAAAAAAAAGCACCCCTATGGCTCCCCAGCACACCAGCAATGGAAGTCTCCCCTTGTGAGCAGGGCGCCGAGCTGGGACCCGCCTAACCAGGGATCTCTAGCTCCTGGGAGATCCTGCTCCCCTGCTTGGCCCATGTGGCCCCACCAAGTTTGGGGCGAGCACCACCTCTGCTAGCTGAAGTGACATGTGGCAGTTCTTGCCAATTTCACTGAACTGGCTGCTTTAAAAATCAATTAGTTCACATGCCTGACAGCTGTCCCACCCCCGAGGAACTCGCTAACGACTGCCAATGACAGAGCCAGGACTGGGGGTGTGGGCTCCTCAGTGCCAGGTGCCACCCCAGTGCCTGGCTGTGCTGCCACAAGGGCTCGCTTGGGCTGGACGCTGGAGGAGGGAGGGAAGATCATCCTGTGAAAGAGTTTTTAGGTGGCAGGAAGCTGCGGGGGGAGGGGGGGCTCAGACAGGGCCTCACCACCAAGGAGGGCAGAGCTGGGCACCTCAGCCCTCTGCCCCTCTCAGCCTGGGGCCACTGTGAACAGAGCTTGAGCTTGTGGTTCTGGCAAAGGGAAGATAAGACTCCTGCGGGTCCTTTATAAACAAATCACCGTCATCTCCGATTGCTTCACCGTTCACTGACCCAGAACCTGACACTTGGACTCTGCTTCTTGTGTATCCTGAGCTCTATCTAAACAAACCAGAGACACTGAGAGGGGCCCCATCCTCTGCAGCAGTAATGGCCCACACCCCCTTATCTGGGGCAAGCAGGGGCTCCTCCCCTCACACAAGGCAGCTCAGGGGGGAAATGTGTGGGTCAGGTGACCCCAGAAAGAACTGCAANAGCAGTAATGGCCCACACCCCCTTATCTGGGGCAAGCAGGGGCTCCTCCCTTCACACAAGGCAGCTCAGGGGGGAAATGTGTGGGTCAGGTGACCCCAAAAGAACTGCAGNCCTCCCCTCACACAAGGCAGCTCAGGGGGGAAATGTGTGGGTCAGGTGACCCCAGAAAGAACTGCAAGGAAGAGCACCTGGACCAAGCAGGGGTTTCCTTTTTGCAAGCCCCCAACGCAGCAGGGTCATGGTATTCGAGCTAAAACTACATTCTAGTTGTTTTGAGCACATAAGAAATAGTTTTGATTTTTGGGTTAACAGAAGTGTGAAACCTAACACCCTCCTATATCCTGTCCTGTTCTTACTCCCACCCTTAAAATTCTTACCCACTAGTTATGCGAGGTACTAGTTACAATGTTGCAGCTACTGATAACTGGAAAGTGCTAACTGGAAAGAGGAAAGCATTCTGAATGTTAAAAAAACAAAAACAAAACAAAAAAACAAAACTCACAGGAAAAAACCTGCTTTGGGATTCTCAAGTTTAACGGCTTACTTCTAAAGCCACACCAACGGGTCCCCACGTGAGGAACAGCTGGTCAGAACCCCACCTACAGGTGCGCTCCAGCTCCTGGTTCCCACGGCTCCAGGCGAGGTGCTGGGTTTGCCAAGATGTGTGTGACCCAGAATGAGCCTCGGAGAGTCAGACCAGAGTCATGGCGATGGGTCTGGGGGCAGCTAGGTGGGGAAGGCTGCACACCACACTACTGTGACATCGGCATATTAAAGGCTCTGAGAAGTCCTGCAGCAAAGGAACCTACCTATCAGAATTGTTGAGCCCAGTTTCCCAAACCTACTTGATCTCAGACTGAATAAGACCCCAGTTCTCAGGCAAGTCCTAGAGTGCAGCAGGGTGGCTGAGGACAGCCCCAGTCGGAGCTGATCCCCAGCAGTACCTCTGTGGCTTCAGGGGAGGCCACTGGCCTCCACTCCTCAGAGCCCTGCTCCAGGTCCCTTGGGAATACCTGGCACCCACTCCCTAGGTCCTTTTAATATCTCTTTAATTACAGTTAAACGTTATTACAGTTAAATGTTAACGCCTCTGTGAAAAGAAGTAGTTAACAGCAGCCAAATGCAAAGCAGAATCTGTCCAACGTTAACTAGCGGAGTAAATCATCAATCACTGCGGGACGGGCGGTGAGCGCGGCAGAGACGCTGATGCCTGTGGCACCGAGGGCGGTGCAGGCCCACAGCGCGCCCCTGGCACACTCGCCAGGCGTGCCCGCTCAGCAGCGCAGCTTTCCGTGTGCCCCGCACATCTCAATAGGGGATCAGAAGACACCCAGACCTCTCCCGGGCCAAGGCTCTGGTCTCTGGGCCAGCGACGGGGTTCGGAGCAGCATTCAGGGCGGCGGGGAGCGAGCCGGGACCTGAGCCCCTGGTGAGCAGCTGGGGACCCCGGGGGCCTCCGGGAACCTCCCCTCGCGGCCCCCCCGCCGGAGCC